TTGGCTTGATATTTGAAAAACTAATAAAATATATGAAAATAAATAAAATAAATAAATAAATAAATAGGTGAAAGACAAAGAACAATGACTCAGGCAATAGCTCAGGCCATAGGCCAGAATGTAACAAAAGTGTAAATGTTTAGCAGGCGCTAGGCCATGTAAAAACACTGGATAAACAGACCAGCCAGACTTGAGGAAAACCAGCAAGGGAATGTGCAGAACAGCAAGACTTGGGAAAGGACCAGCAAGGGAATGTGCAGAACAGCAAGACTTGGGAAAGGACCAGCAAGGGAATGTGCAGACCAGCAAGACAGCAAGACTCGGCAGACTCAACACACGACGAAACAAGCGCCAACCGGAAGACGGGCTCCCCCTGACACACCCCCAGCTCTGGCTGCTCTCTCGTATACATGTTCAAGTGTCATGTGGGGTAGAGGAGAACCCTCACTTGGAGCAGTTAGTGTGTTTCGAAACAAGCGCCAACCGGAAGACGGGCTCCCCCTGACACACCCCCAGCTCTGGCTGCTCTCTCGTATATATGTTCAAGTGTCATGTGGGGTAGAGGAGAACCCCCACTTGGAGCAGTTAGAGTGTTCAACCACGTCCATGCTTGACAAATACCATTCTTCCACCGAAAAGCAGGCACATCACAAAACTTGTCCTCAAAGGCTCTGACTAGCTGGTCTATTCCCTTTCAGCAACACTGGATGCTGGTCGTGTTGTCTACTCTTTAGACACGACACTACACTACTCTCATTCACATATGGCGTGAAAGAGAATATAATGTCCATGAGCGTTGCGTAGACTGGTATTGCTGCAATTCTGCTGCCTGGTGGTATGACGTGTCACACCACCTTCGACTTGCCATCGTAGCTGCTCACGCATATAACGTGTCATGTATCGCGCAAGTTCAGGCGATGGTACGAGCTCCTGACGTTATCATTGGAGACGAAGTGTCGATTGGCCCTTGCTGAAGGGTTGGCAAGGGGCGTTGCGAGACTCGATGGAAGGTGACAGTCCATTCTGTGATAAAGTATGTATGCTGGGTGTTGACTTTCGCCAAATATTGCCAGTCGTGCGTCCAGCATCTCAAGGTCAAGTCGTTAAGACTTGTACTGAAATGAGCACTTGGTAGTCATATATTATGTGTGCTGCTGCGAATGAAATTCGCTCGATTGCTCGATGTGGACAGCGAAACACCACCGCGAGTACAGGACGGTCGATCTGTGATCTTCATGCGTTTACCAGACGATTGTATCAGTAATAAGTTGGTGAACGAGATACTTGGGCGACGGCATAGGGATTGCGATGCCGAAATGAGCAGCAAGTGCGCCATTCTGTGTCGCTAGAATGAGCATTCCCCTATGGTCGATGAGGACGTGTTGTCTCGATTGGAAGGGGAAATGCAGACTCATCACATCATCGAAACTAATAAACGATCCTGGTGAACATGCCAATCGGCAGATGAGCTTTAGATTAATATCTCAGAATTGACATCAAGTTTACCTGTATGTAAAGACAATGTCTCTCACATAAACGTCCATATGGGACATATTCATGTTACATCACCCAAACGTCAATATGGTGGCATTCAGTCTAGTGACGTTTAGTTTACGTAAACACATCAATTTCGTCAGTTACCTACAATGGAAATTGTGGAAATCACGCGTGACCTTTAAAGACTGCTTGGGCTGGCTCAGAAGTACCTGTCCGATTGTCAAGTGCAGATCCTTTGCAAATATGATCCCTCATGGCATATTATTCAAGATTCAAGATTCAAGATAGTGATATCAAGAGGCGATTGCGCCCATTTCGATATCACGTGTCGAGGTCGAGCGATCCTTAATGTTAGGGTAGGCCTAACCCTCTTAAGGCTATATATTTTTCCATTTTGTTTTTTTTTTTGTTTTATTATTTTTTTGTTATTTGACTATCCTAGTTGCTTACTGTCTAGCACCTAAAGTCAACATTGCCACCCACCTTTTTGCCTGTCCATAAACGCATCTAGTTTGTTCTTAAAGATAGTCACAGAAGGGGCAGCCGCTACTTCGTCATCTAACGCATTCCACGCGTTCACCACTCTGCAAGTAAAGAATTCCTGTCTCAACCTGAGCCGCACCTGCGGTTTGTGCAACTTGAGTCGGTTACCTCTCGTTCTCTCGCTGCCATCAACTCTCATATGAACTGGACAAAACTGGACCTCCCACTATGTCAAAGTCCATCACTTAACTTCTAATAACTTCTGAGATTTTTTGGAGCATGCATTCAGATTCATTTATGCATACAGAGACGAGTAACAGTATTCCCTACAAGGAAGGAATGGAAAGAGAAATCTTATAGTTTCATTCTATGCCTGTGTGTTCCTACATTCTTTGCTGATAAATTCCAGTATCTGAGATAACAAAAAAACTTGCGATTTTTCAATTCCCGTGAAGATACGCATATAAATAGCTTATAAATCAAGTTTCACTCTGAAGATGAGGATTGATGGCATTTTAGAACTTGAAATTGGCCCAGAGCATGAAATTGGATTGTATTCATGCGTGGCTCTTAAGCATTGCGTAGCATGACCATCAGTGCATAAAACTAAAGGGATGTCGCGAAGGCCACTAGGAGATTGACAGAGTCGGGAAGATAACCTAAAGCATGCGCTTAACAGGGACAGAATTGATGGCCAATTTCATCAAAGCCGATTTCAGAAACCTATAAGGTTTCCCCCTTGCTCATGTCTTTCCGATTGTTTTCAATATTCTTCTGACTCATGCTTCAGGGAAACCTATGCTCAAATATATGTTGCAGTCGAGACTCAGGATGAGATTCTTCTTTCTGAAGAACAAAAAGAAAAGGATCATACTTTAACTATCAAATAAAGGAGGCCCGAAAACGGAAAGAGCTGGCCCAGTGTGACATTCATTTCCAATCAATCAGATTTGGCATTTATTTTCTCATGCTGAGTTCTTAGAACTGGCGATATTTCCTTGCGAATGAGAGCCAAGATGAAATGGATTTTATATCTGCCGTGACTCTTGGAAGCAAAATGACCGAAAAATGCAGTGCGGCCAGTTCTAGTGCAGGTTTTTGCAGGTTAGACGAAGTAAGAAGAAATCAGGCGAATCAATGGCAATTCATCCCACAAAATACCGCCAGAAGGATTTGCACTGGCAAGTTGCTATTGTGATTGTTTCTGGTCTTTGAAACTGTTTTCTCCTATTTTCTAATGAGGTGCTGTGGTTTGAGATAGCACCCTGATCGTGCCATATATATGTGAAACATCTCGTGCCTGTTTCATTACAAATTGAGCCGAGTAGAGACGAACAAGCGCATATCACAGCTTCACACTTACTTGGAGCTGCTCCACTTCGGTTTATTGTCTGTCTGCGCTTTCTCTTCCCATTAGCTGCACCACCGGCTACGCCTGCCACGGCGTTTGGTGGGTCCATCGAGCCTCCGTTGCTGTTGGCTCCCGGGATTTTCTGAATCGATAAAATCTTTCCCGTCAGTGGCTGAGAACAGCGGATCTTTTCCCTGACCGATCGGCATGCAATGTCGGAGTCGTATCCCTTGAAGTAGGCGCAGAGGGGATTTTGAGAAAAATTTCCGTTTGCGGACAACTCCGTGTCTCCGACACGAATTTCGATGTTGTTAAAGTCGTAGCAACCTGAAAAGAACGCCGGTTTCAATCGTATATTTATGCACATTTTCAGGTAATTTAGAGAATACACACTTCATCAAGCAGTTCTATAGCCGAATTCGTGCTCCTGCTTTGCTGCATTTTACAGCATGACGCTCGATGCAGTACACAGCAACAGTCAGTTAAAAATGCAATCTTCATCTGCTGCATCCAAAAAATATGGGAATGGTTTCCATTCAATCCAGTATGCTGTATAGCACACATTTTTAGCCAGAGAAGATGCGGCATCCAGCTGAATTAAGCGAATTTCTCGATGTATGACAGGGTTGCAATCCAACAGCTGGGCATGCCGGATTGGCTTTTTCAGTGCAGCGTGCAGTTGCATCATCTAACATGTTGCGCACAGCACGAGTATTACCACTGCCTTATGCGTCCCTTTTCACATTTTTCTCATTCAAGCGACCACGAGAAGCGGGGCGTATATAATATCTGCGTTCACTAAGTTTGATTTTATTTCGTCTCCAAATTTCTCTGAGAAGTCACTGAATGCTGCAGAACTGTGTCGTGGACGAATGAAACGGGGGCAAGAAGATAACACAGAACTTCATACGAAGTAATATGTACCGCTCGATTCAAACTGCAGACGCTACTTTATAAAATGTTCGATCGGAACCGACTCATGAAGTAAGCCAACAAATTTAAATGTATGATTACTGTTCACTCACCAGAATTGTTCGTCTGGAGGATATCGACAACGGTGATGATCTTGGGTTCATCGAAGAGTATTCGATAAAATGGCCTCTCGCCTTGAATCGTGATTGGAGCTGGATTTTCCAGAATATTGACAGTCTGATTCCCCGCGTTCGTCAAGTACTTGGCTGCGAACAGATGAGACATGAATCCCGATTCACTCATTGGAATAAGTCGCTATGATTTCAAAGAATCTTGAAGTTATTCGTTCACCTATGCAATAGGAGCTGATGTCAGTCGGGATCCAGGCGCCATCCGAGCACGTGATGTCGACCTCCAGGCTTCTGTCTTTGAATCGATGGAATTTCGGGCAGGAGAAGGTGACGGAGGAGCCGTCGGGAGCGAAGTCTTCCGCGCCTTGCCAGAGTTCGAAGCTGGGGATCGCTCCGATCGGTGCTGGGTAGGTGTTCGGACATGCCGGCCCTGTTTGGAAGATTGCAATTTTGGCTGCATCTCGAGACCCAATCTCTTCGTGAAAGTGGTAGTCGGTGCAAGTGATCGTGGTTGCTTTACGAGGATTAGTTCGTCCAAAAATGTGAGAAACAGACGTATATACCGTATATACGTCAACTTTAGCAGCAATACGTCTGCGTAGACAGCCTGGTACCATTTCTCTTCGAAATATTTAGGCAGGTAAATTCCATGAAATGTCCCATCATTCTCTATAGGAGAAATGTGACTAAGTATGTGTAAGCATGGATGGAAAATTAGATAACATATCAGGATAGGCTGCGAAGAGTTGGTGCATTGAGTTTTTTCAATTATAAATATACATGTCTCAGGCAAACAATGCCCCATGACCCAATTTAAAGATGGATCCTTTTTTTCTGAAGGTAGAAGGTAAGGTCTGGTGTTTGATCTTTCCAGAATTCTATCAAATTCGTCATGGGGTCGAAAAATGATAAACCCTGATTTTTTTCTAACCGTACTAGAGAAACACTGAGGTAAACTCTTTTCTTTCAAGCCGAGATAGCTTCAAATTTTCGATCGGTGACCGTTACTCTATCTGCGTCTGTTGTCTGCACCTAAGTGCCGTTGAAAAGAGATGATTCATGAGCCTCGCCGGAAAATCGCCCGATTCGATTCATGCAGATGCACTAGAGTAACATGAATTCATCTTGCATTTTTTTTACGATTGTCCAACCCGTACACACCATACGATATTCGGATATTCGAAACGCTTCCGGAGGTTCAGTCTGACGATAGAAGTTGCACCAAGCCACGCCGGAGCATTCCGTCCCGCCCGCGTGATAATTTCCCTCGGACAGGAGAAACTCACGTCCGTAGCAGATAGCTTTGTCAGTCTGATCGCATCCTTCCGTCTGGATCTGGTTGCCATTTATCACGGCGCAGAGCTCAGAGCCAGGCTGCGGGGAATTCCACAAGGAATTGGGGATGTCGCCGTAAGTGCTCCATAGAGAAACCCTCCCGCTGTATCCTCCGATGTTTTGAGAGCTGAGGTGAAAAGAGAAATGAAAAGGAGTTTGAATCAGTCTGATATGCATACTGCAGGCTGGCGTTCGTGGGAATTTCGAAGGCAATACGTAGACTGGATGTTGTTCTTGATGAAGAATTTCCCCGACAATTCTTTACCGGCGAGGAACTGCGCCCCAGCCTGGAGATCCTCTTGCGTCCTGATCTTCAGCAGGTCCTTACCGAGACTCCGGCAGCCAGCGAGCGAAGTCCCGTAGTCTCCCCCGGTGACGCCCAGCGCCTGCATGTATTCCGGATCCAGGACTCTCTCTGCGAGAGAAAATCACACAAATGAGCGCTCGCGCGCGTCTCTAACCGCAGAGGAACACCGCAATTAAGAACGATGGGATTCCATTGAAATTCAGGCGTTTTTTGGGAGATTCAGGACAGATTCGCGTGTCTTGCTTCCGGAGAGCTTTCCCGATTTCCAAATAAATCCGTTTACGAATCAGTCATTTAAAATATTTTATATAGTTATTTCATTAAGTTTAAGTTTATTGAGTCACTATGCCCTGATTCATGACTTTTGTGACACCTTCTGTAAAATATAGGATAGAATTTGGTTGCGCTATATCCAAGTATTCGACATTCGACCATGGTAATGTTGTTCAATGCGTGATGTGCCCCTCCCTTACCGTTATAAGGACTCGTTCCATATACTCGATTGCGCTTTTCCTGTATTCAGGACACATTTATTATTTCTTATTGTTAGAAATGATCATGAAGTAACGATAAAGTAATTACCATTTCATAGCGTGCTCATAAAAACTAGAGCATGTCGTAAAAGAAGAGGCGAACGAGGAAAAAGTGAGGGTTATAAATAATGTGTCGTCTTTGGGCTCGGTAATAAGGGCACGCAAACGAGACTTCCCCTTATGCCCGACATATTTTTTCTATATCTGACTTCCCATCGAAATGACCAAAAAGTCATTGCAACTTCTCGAACTTCAGTGATATCAACGGCCTCGTAATAAGTTAATGAAAGCCATCGACCGGTAAAGGAAGCCCTGATATCGCGACTCGATCACGCATCGACCACGAAGCGAATGGGATGCCAGATGGGAGGCAGATACGGCTAAGGTCTTCGCGTGGCATCGTCCGACCTGGATTATTCATTGCAAATTCTGTGCAAATACGCACCGATATTAGGAAGACGTTCGGGGACCGACCTCGGATCGTACGCCGGTCCCCTGGGTCCTTCGGAAAACAGAGGCTCACGGAGCACCAAATGTTCACTTTTCCTGCTCTTTCGTTGCAAAAGGAAATGTGGAACGACCTCGTTCCTCCTGTCAAACCTTTTACATCGGCAACGATATAGGATTAGCTGTCGGCGGAATTAGCGCATGGAGTCGGCAAGCCAACTGCTTTCACGACACGTAATTTCAGTATTTTGCGTCCTAACCGTGAATTCGAATCCCAACAATCTTAAGAGAGAGTTGGGACAAAAAAATGTTTCGAGCGAACGATTCCCCCGTTGAAATGGAAGCTGCTGTGGAAAGAGATGCGACAGATGAATAGGCACGCCAGCATCCCTTTTCTCATCTTAAATCCGGGAATCCGCGATTCTATTCTTGATTCGATTCGAGCTTGATATAAACAACTCAGATGCAAAAGTACAAATATTCCATTCTTGAATCTCAGGTTTTTCCCTTCTTCCTTTTTAATACATTTCTCATGCTAGACAGAACTCGTAGTTTACCAGTTGACACGGCAAGGATTACGTGTGAACCACTAGAATGCTGCAAGGAATTTCACCTTTTTATCCGTGCTCCGAGTGCTGCTGTGAACGAGCTTCTCGGCGATGAGGAAGGACAAGAGTATGGTCATTCGCAGATTCGTCATTAAAAAAAAATGTCAAAAGAATTCAACTCTTAAAAGGGTCATTCGGCCATCTCTTTATCTATTTATCGCTGCCTTCAATAAAGCAGAGTTCTCTTTGTGGGGAACAGAGGGCCATATCGACAGTGGGATCAACAGAATTCGGAGATTGTCGAATGACCCTTTCAATAGTTGAATTCTATTGAAATAGTTTTTTTTTTATAAATAACGAATCTGTGAATTAACATACTCCTGTCGCCCAGAAGCTCGGTTGCACTCGGACCACGGATAAAAAGATGAAATTCCTTGCAGCATTCTAGTGGTTCACAAGAAAGCCTTGCCGTGCCAGCTAGTAAGCTACGAGTTCAGTCTAATGTCGGAAATGTAAACAAAAGAAGGAAAAAACCTTAAATTCAAGAATTATCTGAATACCTGTACTTTCGCATCTGAGTTGTTTATATCTAGCTCGAGTCGAATCGGGAATGGAATCTCAGTTTTCGGAAACGATGCGCCTCGAATGGAATCGCGGATTCCCGAATTTAAGCTTCTCGATTATGGCTGCACGACGCATCGATATCGTAGACGAAATACGATAAGACTATGGAGCTATGGCAATAGTGAAATCGGCCATATGCACGGAAATCGATATTATCGTCAACGATATCCATTTCGATATTATCATGATATTGCTGCCTCCTTGGTGGGCTTGGATCAGTGTCGTGCAATACTACGAAGCTCATCTCATATATTTGCTCAAGTTGGCTTCAAAGGATCATTTTTGGATCGTTCTTTTGAGAGTCTTTGGGGAAGGAATTCGTAGAATGGCTGAGGAAACCTTGAAAATCTCCATTCATGTACTTCCTTTCGATGAGAAAAGGGATGCTGGCGTGCCCAATCATCTTTCGGATCTCTGTCAACGGCAACTTCCATTTCAACGGGGAATCGTTCGCTCGAAACATTTTTATAACACCAATTCTCTCAAGATTGTTGCGATTCGAATTCACGGTTAGGACGCAAACTTTGCTCGCGAGATATTGAAACTGCGTGTCGTGAAAACCGCCGGCTTGCCGACTCTATGCACTAATCCCTCCGCCGGCTAATCCTATATCGTTGCCGATGTAAAAGGTTTGACAGGAGGAACGAGGTCGTTCCACATTTCCTTTTGCAACGAAAGAGCAGGAAAAGTGAACATTTGGTGCTCCGTGAGCCTCTGTTTTCCGAAGGACCCAGGGGACCGGCGTACGATCCGAGGTCGGTCCCCGAACATCTTCTTAATATCGGCGCATATTTGCACAGCATTTGCAATGAATAATTCAGATCGGACGATGCCACACGCAGACCGTCGCAGTATCTGCCTCCCGTGTGACATCCCATTCGCTTCGTGGTCGATGCGTGATCGAGTCGCAATTCGAGAGCGGTGACGGCATGAGCCTCCTTAAAAGATCGATGGTCCAGGCTTTCATTAACTAATTACGAGGTCTTGCCTCTCAGCCACTGACGTCACTGACGAATATACCATGACATGCATGACATGGGAAATTACTATTTCCCATGTCGGAATTTCGTCTTTGGACGTACTGAAGGACATGTCATGATCTAACATAAAGGAAGCGAACCAAGTTAAATGGCTTCTCATATGAAGAAACAGCGAAAGCATATTGCCCCCTTCAACATATCAGGCCCATGTCAATCGACACTTGGTGAGAATATTGACGTCTGCAATCACTTTTTTCCGCGTGAGACTTTGTTAACTCCCAGCCGATCTAGTTTCATCAACGATAGATCGGATGGAGATAACGATTTCATTTTTTTCCTTCGAGTTTCTCTTCTGGCTGGACTGTGGAATCTGAAGATTCTGCAAAAAAAATGGAGGGAATCGTGAAAAGGGACAGTGAAGCCCTTCGTCCCATTTCGCCTCGTGACACGCTTAAAGACCGGAAAAAACGAAGCAGCAGCTCCCAAGGGACAAAAACAGATCCCACATTCGGCATGCAATTCGTCACGTCGGCAAAAAAAATCTCACTTGCTGCGCAGAGGAAGCCGTACTTCTTCTGGCAGGCGACAGTCGCCAAGACGAATCCTGACCCTTTCGCGGACAAAACGGCGCAGGAATCTTTTCCGGGCTGACTCCGGTTCCAGCAGGTCGAGGGGACGTCCGAGTTCGAAAACCACAGCGTCTTCCGAGTTCTCCGGGAAGGATTCGAGGAAAATCTTCGAGGAAGAATTCGAGTGAATCATGATCGATGCCCGAACAAAAAGATGAAAACGGGATTTAACTGCCGTCTCTTTCCACACCCGCACTCACTGCGTCAGCTGTTCGCTGGACAGGGTGTTGCCGACGTAAAAGACGCCAGAGCCGAACGGATTGGGAACCGAACCGGAGAAGTTCCGTAGAGTCCTCGCTGCATCGCCATCCAGCCACAGCAATTCCTTCCCCTGTGAATTGCAAAAGCCTTGCGCGTCGTTCCACGATTTCGAGGAATTGCGTATTTCCAAGGAGTCGACGTCGAAAGAAGTGCAAGGACGGGCCAAGACTGAAAAGGAATTCTGAGAACTGCATCGACCGAGACGTCTCAGACGACAAGACGATCCTCGGGTCGAAACTCACGGAAGATGAACGAAAGAGGAAAGAAACGGCGAAGTCGACCGGCCGACATCTTCGACCCGACACTCGCTTCAATTTTCTCCCATGATTTCACTCGTCGAATCGCAAGGCCGAGTTCCACGGTGCCGCCGGAAACAGAAATGGGACCGACCTTCTGTCGCCCCTTTCCTGTATCCAGGCGATTCGCGTGCGTCTCGGGACATTCGGCCTCGACGCACGCAAAAGCGCGTAAGACAGCATGAGAACAGGGACCAATCTCACGTGACATCGGAAAACGGGCACCGAATTAATTGGATTGGGACCTCTGGGACCTGCCATCCCTCTCGCTGGCATGGCAACACAAAAATACGAATAAAGTGAATGGCTTTCCCTCTCTGCCTCCAGAGTCGACCGCGACTAAAGGAAGTCGGGAGGCATCTCTTACGACTTTTCTCCATTTCGACTATCGAGTCCGGCTAACCCTTTGTGGTCGTGTGTCGGGCAGGACCCGACATTAAAAAAGATTAGTTCCGGTCATATGTCCGGTGTTTTCCTGCCATTTATTACGATATTTTACTTCACACGACATCTACCTATTGTATTTCTCCATCTACCGACCGGCATTTGAAATGATTTGTTGAAATGTGTTTTTATCTTTTTTCATTGATATTAAATATAACATGAGGGGACAGCTAGTGGAAAATAATACGACCGCAAAGGGTTATGAAAATGCCCGCCAGAAATCCTATATATTCATTTAGAAATATATAGGTTCCCTGTAGGGTTCCCTTTGGAACCCATATGGTTCCCTATAGGGCCCATGGGGTTCCGTTTGAAGTTCTCCTCTAGGCCACTAGGTGGAGGTATGGTGTTCTCGCATTCCTCCTATTCACAAAAGTGCCCTCCCATTAATCCATGGAATCATCTCTCACAGGAATGTTTCGTACTTCCCCATATGCCTTGCCTCATTGTAGCAATGAGAAACTTCGACATTTTCTTATTTGTCATACTCATCTTCCTGATAAAATCATGGAGTCCAGCAGAAATATACCCATATTCTCTCAGAACCACGTATGAGAAAATTCAAATCTTATCCTAAAGGAGTTCCAGTAAAAAGACAGTGTTCGCAGGTTCTGTCTGCAATATCTTTAGGTCGAGAGAAGAATGGTACTATTGAAGGAAGTAGACGCTTCATCCTACACATTCCAGCGACATATGTGGACAATGAATTATACAGACGTAGGTAGTACTTGTATTGGAAATGCAAATGCCCCTACCATGGGAAATCCCCTGGTCGGAAGTTAATTTACACCAAAATGCTGCGCCAATATTGACCCCGGTGGCCGTTCCCGTTGTAATGCCAGAGTTTCGAAACTCAAAAGATTCTCCCCGAATCCTATAGGTCAGGAGTCTCATACGACCTATAGGGATCCTACAGGATCCTATAGGTTTTTCATGTTTCCAAAACCTTCCAAAACATAACCCAAAACCTAAAACCAGGAAAGTCTATCCGTTTCCTATAAGAAATATATATACGTTTCTTATAGGACATAAGGGGTAGTACCTCTGAGTACTGCATCGAGTACTAATTTCTGCTTGCTTTCCGTATCTCGAAAACGGGAAGATCGATCGCAAAGCCTCGAGTCCTTCAGCGGAGAACGCCCATGCTCTCATTAATATGCAAGCAGGAATTCTGAAATCGGCACGTTTTCATGACGGGCGTGTTCAATTTTGTAAAATTTCTTTCAGGAACTGTCTCGTTCCATCTCGCTCCCTCGAGTCTGAATGATGGCCCTACGTGTGCGATCTTTCAAAATGGTCAATGGAATGCCTGATGACGAGAGGCATTGAGGTATTTTGGATCCACGCTCGCTCCATATAAGCTTTTCCGGTGCGCATTCTCCCGAGTTTCGACTGCCTGGCTAGAGAAATAGGTTGCAATGGGTCGCAGGATTTCCAAGTGACATCGGGAAAATTGGGCATGCAGAAGAGACGCGTTGAGAAGATGGTTCGCTATCGGTCAGCGATATCGTCGATCCATTGGGTTTTTTTTTGCCGTTTCTCGGTCGATACCATCGCTAGTGCGTTTTGGGCTGGCCGGATCACAAATTGCGGCGCATTTGCGAGATTTCCTTCGTTGGAGGAAAATCGTCGTCAAGGATTCGAGATGAAGGTGATGACGGTGACTCATGGAATTTGATTCATTTACTGTATGTTCATTTTATAAGGTTCATTTAAGCTTCTGATCTGGAGCCACGTGCGAAGTGTATCCCATAAGGGATTCAAGCTTAAATTTTCCCGCTCATACTTATGTGAAGAGTGGGGTCTTCCACCCTTTTCGCCTCCCAGTCCTACAGGGAAGAACTCTTTGTTTCCCTAAAAGCGCACCTGACTTTTACGGTGATAAAAAGGAAAGCCCATTATAACAAAAGAGGGAAAGGAGGAAATATACTATGTATTCCTCCTGAAGTGTTAAAAAAGAATTACAGGAATCCCATCCTTTTCTACTCTAACATTTTCCATACTTTTCCTTCATCATGGTGTGTTGAGATGAAGAGGAATAATGTTAATTATTTCCTAACCCACATGAAATTATCTATCTTATGATATACTGTTAATCATGATATGGCATGTTAAAGAAAATGGTTTTGAGTTTTATAACTTAATTTTTAAAATGAAATTACTGACCATCCCATAAGGGAACAGGCAAAATACATGATATTATCAAGAATAATGGCGGTAAGAATAATGGTGTGTTGTCGCCAGGAGCATGGGACAACCCTGTAACCGACTGGTGCAAACACATAAAACGAAACCCATTAAGATAATGAGATCCTGATGGCTTTAAATAAATTAAGTCGAGGCCGACACTAAAAATGTAGCCAATGGGAAAAAAGGGTGCAAGCAGTATATCCAATCCGAATCCCGGATTTTTGAGGAAGGTATCCTGGCTCCTCCCAGAGGTACCGAGGATATTAGCAAGAGACTTGGACGCTGGAGTCAGTCGCTATTTGGAAGGCACCATTGTGACCTTACCATATTCGGAGATGACTCCAGGACAACCTATCAGCTGTAAAGGTTAGCCCTGTTCCTTGATTGTGTGAGGAGTGTGGCCCGAGTAACAGAGAGAAAGAACAGTAAGATAAATAACTTTCATTCAAGATTAGAATTTTCCCCAGTCGGATCCTTCTCCCATCCAATATTATTATTTTTTCATTGATTACTATTATCCTATTAAAGAAACTCTGTTTTATTTGAAGTGTCCAAAGAATACTCGAATAGATTTCTTGTTGTTAAATTCCCTTACGACAATGTCCTATAAGAAACCTATAATTATTTCTTATAGGAAACCTATAGACTTTCCTATAGGTTTTTGAAACCATATTCATATTTCTTCATATTTCTTCAATTTCTTCATATTCAGGAACGAAACCAGACCCAGGTTCCATCATTTGTATTCTACATCCTTACCGTTCACGAGCGCCTCCCAGCAGTGACCCCTTACGAAAATGTCTTAAAGGATTTCTATAGGAACCTAAAATAATCCTATAGGATCCTATATGCCCCATAGAGTTCAGTTTGGGACCTATAGAGTTCCCTTTAGAACCAATAGATCCCCCTATGAAACCTATAAGGTTCCCCATAAGGCCTATAGGTTCCCTATAGGACCCAAAGGGTTCTGTATAGGATCCGTAGGATTCCCTATGAAACCTATAGGGTTCCCTATAGGACATGCAGGGTTCGCTATAGGACCAATAGGATTCTCCATAGGACCTATAGGATTCTCTATAGGACCTATAGGGTTCCCTGTAGGGCTTATACGGAACCCTATAGGCCTATAGGGTTCCGTTTGAAGTTCTCCCCTAGGCCACTAGATGGAAGTATTGGGTTCTCACATTTCTCAAAGGGCACAAAGTGCCCTCCCCTTACCCAAGGAATCATCTCTCAAAAGAGAGTTTTGTACGTCCCCTAATTTCTCGCCTTGCCTCATTGTAGCAATCAATTAACTTTGACAGTTCCTCATTTGTCATCCCCATCTTCCACATATAATCATGGAGTCCCGTGAAGAAATATGCCCTTATTCCTTTTGAAGATCACGTACGAAAGTAAGTAGACTCTATCCACATGGAGTTTCAGTAAAGAGACGTGCTCGCAGGTTTTCCCTCCTATTTCCTCAGGTTGAGCGAAGAACGCCGACACATGTGGGGCGGGGCCATAAATTATGCAGACCCCCGCAGTATTGGTGCTAATAATGGATGTGTCCCTACCATGGAAAAACCCCTAATCTATTATTTGATTTACACCGAAATGCTGCGCGAATATTATCCCCTGTCGCCTTTTCCGTCGTAATGCCTGTGTAGGAGGTACTTTTATAAAGATGATGAAATCACAGTAAAAGATAATGCGCATGTCCGGCATAACGGAATAAAAGGGTCGCGCGAGAGAGTAGCGGGGGTCGGGTCGGGTCGAGTCGGGGATGTCAAGTGAGTGAGTCGGACAAGGGAGTCGTAATATGAAGAAATTGAAGAAATATGAAGAAATATGAATATGGTTTCAAAAACCTATAGGAAAGTCTATAGGTTTCCTATAAGAAATAATTATAGGTTTCTTATAGGACATTTTCGTAAGGGAAGGCAGTAGGCCTATGCCTTTTTTAAAGCTCCTTCTTTAAGTAAGGGAAAGTGGCATGCCAACAGTATATATATATTTCTGTAATGAGAAAATTAGGAGGAAACATAAACCAGCACTTAAGGAAATGATGGAAGAATTCTAGGTATTGAGCACAATTGGACGTCAAGAGACTTAAGAAGGATGGTGCTGCTCAGGTAACCTGGAATTTGAAGGATGTACCACAGTGAGCATAATAATAAAATGAACAAAATATTCTGGAGGCCAGGAAGAACTAGTGGAAACACTGCCGTATTGAGGAGAACAATACTTATCCGCAGTGAACGAAGCAATCCCGGCGCTCTGGTTATATCCTCCAGAAGTTTGGTACATGAGCGATCCTCCAGAATCACCCTGGAAATAAATTTCCCGGTGACGCCATCACGAGGAATTGTTGATTCCGTCCTGACTGAGCTTTAAATAATAGTCAAAGACTTACATTGCAGATGTTTCTCCGAGATACCAGGAGACATACGTAGTTGTTGTTCAAGAAAGTACCCCAAATGCTTTGACAAGTTTGCAGACTCAATGCGTTCACCGTCGTCACCATCAAAGCCATCGGGAGGGCACTGCTACCTGAAAAAGTAATTAAGATTTTGAAATTCAGTGAGTCATACAGCCACCTCCAATCCATCTTGTACTCACTTCCAAAAGTGCGGCCCCATTCTGCAATTGTTACCATTGAATTGGCCCTGGGGTTGGCAGAGGCGAGACAAATGGGACGGATGTTTGGGCAAGCGGCGAAGTTCATAGGAGTCTGAAGTTTCAGGTGGGCGATATCGTTTTGGGGTGGTTGCGAAACATAACTGCGATGTATATGGATGGATGGAGCAATGGATATGGAATATGGATGGATGGACCTGTCGGTCATTCAAACAAGTTCGAGGATCCCAGGGTCACGTAAAATGTCTCGAGTAGGCTAATTTCGTTGAATGTAAGAGAAGATTTATGTTTCATCGTGGATGCAGGTGCAGTCATAATATATGTTCAAAAATATCCTTACTTTGACTCCGCGCAATGAGCAGCAGTGAGGGTGTAGCTGATCGTTGATGAGGGTAGAAGAGCAGATGAAATTATTCTTGGCTGTCCCCATCCATCCCACCCACGAGTCCTTCTTTTGACTTGGAACCGGTGTACCACCGATGACCCGGTCGAAGTCTGACTGTCTCACGTCCGCTGAGTTTTCGAAGGGCCTCTTTCCAGTTGACATCTGAGAGACTCCTCAATCTAGTGACAACATTGCATGTGGGAAACGTAAAACCAGAACAATCGAATTATTAAAGGTTGAAAATATGAAAGTCAATTTCTCTGGACTTACAGCAGGCCAAGGCTCTTTATTCTGAAAGTGAAGATACCAGCAGGTAAAAAATTTGCAAAGATTGTATTTAATCTATGTGTAATGTTTTTCAATTCACTATTATACCATATCCAAATTTGAAATGAAGAGGTAAATGATTAATGGACCCTCTAATTTGTTTCTCTTTTGACTCCGTATGGATTACATAAGAGCAAACACACACCGTCAAAATCATGGTGTCTACTGGCTATTTCATTGAATCTGACAACGCGCGGAAGCTCCTTCTATGATAAGGTGTTGAGTATGGAATGTCAAGAGAGGTGGATATTACCGTCTAGCAAAGGGACAGTCCAATTTTCTTTTAATTATATGTATTCAAAAGCGGCTGTCAAAACTCCGATTCTCATCAGCTACATATGCCTAATAATATTACAGTAGTAAAATATGAAAGTCATCGTATTTATAAAATTTTTTTTAATTGTTTAGAAAACGTTAATGAATTGGGACAGAATTAAAACAAAGGAAGAGGAAAGAGAGAAAAGTTTGACTCTACATGCACACAGAGGAATGATTTTTTCTAGAATTTCCTGAAATGTGCCATATTTCTTAATGATTAAGATAAAGTCGAATTACCATGAGATTTCCAGATTGAAATGCTATGTCCATAGAGTACCTGGGAAATTGAGTAATTCCAACAATGATGGTGAATTCTCGAAACGTCCACTGTCCTTGCCCTGTCGAAACGGAAATTTACATGAACGTTCTTGATCATACATTACAATAGACATGAACATCCAATCGCTCCATGGAATGAAGACTGTGACTGGACCTGAAAATGGGCGGAGAACATGAGGAACAGAAGAAAGACGGAGTTGGGAGATGTTTCCATGCTTCCAACGATGTAGAGTCTACTATTGATTGGGCCGTTCTGGCACGAGACCTGACGCAGGATGCACAATTTATACCGTGGATTGTGGGCTTCCCCGAGCCTTCCGAGTGGCTTTTCGCAAGGTGAATATCAGTGGCACGTGGAAAGGTGTTTGGCAGGGAAAAAATAAATGTGTCTGCAAACTCGACGTCATTCACATATGTGGACTTTCTGGAACCGGGATCTTTTCAGGATCCGGGACATGTTGGTAATTTAATGTGTCATTCGTCCACTTTTCATCATAGCCATGTGACTAAATTCAATGTAGTTAACCCCGATTGACATCCTGGTGTCCTACGAATCAAGACCCTAGAGTGCAACTAACCTATCTTGCATGTGTATTCCTGCGTAGATGCATCTGTTTTCCCTAATGCTTATTATCGTTCTCCGGCCCTTGAATGCTGTCTCTATTCCTGCTCCAGGTTCATTCAATTGAATTACATGCATGCCTAAGAAACCGTGGCATTTCAATGTTCTTGCCCTACGTTTTTGTTTTCCCTTTAATGGAGCACATAATGACCATGCAAAGAAAACGTGAAAATATCTTCCCAACGGAAGATAGATTCAGATGCGTTCATCTTCCTGGGATTTCTCTGGTATGGAAGGTGAGTACAGTGGGATTAATTTTATCTCATCCCGAGCTCAAAATGCGCCATGGAAACTTTACATTTCAACAGAAATATCCTGGTTTCGTGTCTCATGCCGCTGCTCAGATTTTCTCACAATGTTTCTGATATTCCTCCGTATCATTTGACTCTCATAAGCTACGAGGATGTGTTTACGTGGTGGTCCAATAAATATTTGACCCTAAGACTATGATTGAAGTTACAATACCACTGGTGAAATAAAATTTATATTACAGGTAAAACTCTACTTTAAGTATTGCTTCACGTAAAAAAATGTTAATTTGGTTTGAGCAATAAATATTTAGCAATTACAGCAAAATTTCGAAGTGTCCCCCATCTTGATCAATGCGCATCACTGCTCACCATTTGATTAGGTCGATCGCTGTTTATTTCAGCTTGATCCAAGAGTTGCCAAGCTTCAGTAACAATCTCGATGAGGTGGTTTTCATCTCGAGTGGCGTCAGTATACACACTCTTTCCTTACCTAATGAACCACCGGTCTCAAATGGAATTGTCCAAGTATCCATGACTTCGTGCAACCTGTCATGTGGCTCCCAAATTCACCTGATCTCAATTCAGTGGAGTATTATGTAAGGAAAGATTGTGTAAACACGTGTATACTGAGGCCACTCGAGATGAAAACCACCTCATCAAGAGTGTTACTGAAGCTTGACAACTCCTTGATCACGTCAAAATAAACAGAGTGATCGAACTGTTCAGATGGTGAGTTATGATGTGCATTGATCAAGATGGGGGTTAATTTGAAAATTTGCAGTAATTGGTGGTGATTTATTGCTCAAAACTAAATTGACTTTTTTTTTTACCTGAAGCAATGGTCTACGTAGAGTTTCACCTGTTAAACAATTTGATTTCATCCAGTGGTATTGTAAATTTCATTGATACCTTTGGGATCCAATATTCTTTGGACCACCCTGTATATTTTTAAAATACTAATTTTTCCCCCTCTCCTCCTGTTCAACTTTGCGCCTATGATGCAGTACGCGACATTCTTGAAAATGACAATTTCGCCACACGACATCACCCTAAAAACATTCCGATGAGACGCGACGTCGTTTAAACGCCTGTGATTATGGGATATGACGATAGTCACTGTGGATAGGTTTATTCTCTCAGGATTGAAGTCATTCATATTCTGGATGATTCCAGACATTGCGACCCGACGACGAGGAAAAGAAGCAAAATGAGGGCAATTGGCAAAAGTACTGCCATTCTTGCCACATCCCGGATTTTCCTCAAATCTGGGCTCTAAAAAGTTCCCTTCTGCAAATGACGTGGTGCTAGCAAGCTCACGTGGCATTTTTCAGCCAAGGCTAACGTGCACCTGGCAATGACGTCACTCCGGCGAGGCGTTCGCGATCTGTCAGGAACTAGGACGCAAACGATGCAACCTGGGTCTGGTTTCGTACCAGAACGGCTCCGTCAATGGACTCAGAGGACAACAGTGGGTTCCACATCAGTACGCGTATGGAATAATTTATAATCCCTTCTTTCCTTCTACTCTTTATGTCCTCCTTCCACATGCCTCCAAAATGGGAGACAACGTGAGTAACTTTATTGGAAGTCAAATCCCAAATGCTCAATGGTTCCCAACACCTTTAATTAACTATTTATTTCTCAATTTCTATTTAATTTTTCTCTGCAGAGTTTACCCTGCTTCAAGCACTACCTCTCGGGTATTCTGCTTTTCATTGCTGACTCTCAAAGCTGAATCCTGATATCCTTGAGCTGTCCCTATTGGTAGAAAAAAACAGTGACACATCCTCTTCTACTTTATACTTCTGCTGCTCCCAATGCCAATTGGGGGGCAACTGCCACCAAATGCAACCAAAATCCCCCGACAATTTCCCATATCCTTCACATAAAATGGATTATTTCCCATTAACTGAACAGATCCATTAAACCTGAACTAAATGGATCAGTTCCCATGTTAACGTGGGAACTGAATCGTTATTTGGAAATGGAAACCGCAATGATGTGGAAAATAAACCGTAGAGAAACAGTTTAGTTTCAGATCTGGAGTGGCCTGAAAGGAGTTATGGGGAATTCTTGAGCATATTTCCCGCTCGAAATGGTGTGGATAGTATGCCAGAGTAATGGAAAGATGCCCGTAGATGGGAGCGACGAAACTCGAATCGTCAAAAAAGTCAAATGATACATTTTTTAAAATTTATGTCCAGGTGTTTATCTGAAAGCAAAAGGAGGGGTTCAAACTCCGGTTTATGCGCAATACTTCTGAGATAGTCCAGGACATCTCTGCTTGCACAGTTGTTACAAAAACTTTCTGAATCCAGCAGTCTCGCCAAGATCTCCATCCGTCTGCGTCTCGGTGCATGGCCCATGAAGAGTCCCTCCCTACCCGATGAGAACCTGCGATTCCATCCTTCAGTCGGATCGTTCGTTGGTAGATGCTTTGTCTTTCGAAGCCTCGTAGACATTCCACATGCCGAAGGGGAAGAGCAGAATGCGAGGACGGCCTGGTATGGGCCTACCATCAATGTAAAATTCTCGGAAGGGAGTTGCAATCTCCTTTCCATATTCAGGAATTTGCGGAGGAAGAGAATTTTAGGCATCGAGGACGTCCTGAATGACTTCAAAGGCCAACTCAACAATCATGCACATAGAAAGAGAAAAATCATTTGAAATTGATTTGACATGGAAAAGAAGGGGAAATGGCCGTGGTCTCGGTCTGGGAGTGCAAGTTCTACTTGCACTCCCTTCTGTTACTTTCGGGGTTTCGTCGCCTTCGACGTTTCGTGTCGTTTCCCGTTATGTTACATTCCCCGTTTCGATTCCTTCGTGGTTTCGATTTTCGGGTTTCGTTATAGACCGGAATATCAAGAGGGACTAGTGGAAGAAGATGCTTCCCTTATGGAAATGTCCTATAGGAAACCTATAGCTCTTTCTTATAGGAAACTTATAGACTTTCCCATAGGTTTTTGAAACACGAAACACCTATAGGATCCTTTAGAATCCTATAGGATCCTTTAGAATCCTATAGGATCCTTTAGAATCCTATAGGATCCTTTAGAATCCTATAGGATCCCTTAGAATCCTATAGGATCCTTTAGAATCCTATAGGATCCTTTAGAATCCTATAGGATCATTTAGAATCCTATAGGATCATATAGGACTCCCAACCTATAGGATTCGGGGAAACCCAAGCATTACGACGGAAAAGGCGACCAGGGTTAATATAGGCGCAGCATTTCGTTGTAAATCAATTACCAATTAGGGGCTTTTCCATGGTAGGGAGACATGTATTATTAATACCAGTACTGCAGGGGTCTGCATAATTTATAGCCCGACCCCATATAGGTCACTGGATTGCACGTTTATTTCCTTCGGTAGAGAAAAGTAGTATTCTTTTCTCGAACTAAGGAAATAGAAGACATAACCTGCGATCACGTCTCTTTATTAAAGCTCCATATGGATAAAGTCGTACATGGTTTTCAAAAGGAATAATGACATATTTATTCACGGGACTGAATGATTATTCTGGAAGATGGGGATGACAAATAAGGAAATGTCGAAGTTTATTGATTGCTAAAATGAGGCAAGGCGAGACATTTGGGGACGTACAAAACTCTCTTGTGACAGATGATTCCTTGGGTAAGGGGAGGGCACTTTTGTGCCTTTTGAGAAATGCAAGAATCCAATACTTCCATCTAGTGGCCTAGAGAACTTCAAACGGAATCCTCTAGGCCTATAGCGTTCCATATGAGCCCTATAGGGAACGCTGTAGGTCCTATTGGTCCTATAGGGTTCCGTATAGGCCCTATAGGGAACCCTATATGTCCTATAGAGAATCCTATAGGTCCTATAGCGAAACCTACAGGTCCTATAGGGAACCCTACACGTTTTATTCGGAACCCTACGGGTCCTATACACAACCATTTGTGTCCCATAGGGAACCTATAGGCCTTATGCGGAACCCTATTGGTTCTATAGGAAACCCTGTCGGTTTTATTGGGGGCTCTATAGGTCCCAAAGTGAACTCTATGGGGCATATAGGAACCTATAGGATTCATTTTGGTTCCTATAGTATTCTTATGAAATTCATATATATTCCTAAAGGAATATATAGGAATCCTATAAAACATTTTCGTAAGGACAAAAGGCAAACGACGAGGCATTTTCGTGCATGAAAGGTCATTCATGAGACATATATATATGTTAGCCTTTTGTTATGAGATGTTTCATTTAGGAGTTGCACGGTGCATTGAGGACAAAACTAACAGTTCTACATCAAATTTGACCACCTGCTAAGCAGCATGTTTACGTAAAGAAGATATCAATTCTTTGCAAACAATGTACATTTCTTGAGATTGCCATGAAAATGACATCACGTTTACGCAAAATTTACTTTTCTATACTTACGTCACCAAAGTGTACGTGCATTTTACGTAAACTAGACGGCACTCCATTTGACGTGAAGTACATGATATCAAGTTTATGCAAAATTAACGCCACACCACCCATATGAAACTTTAGCTGACCATCCTTCTATTGCACTATGAAGACTCCTCACTAGATGGAACCCTTGTTCCCTGCATCCTACAATTACTATTAAGTAGTAGTTTACCCGATATAGTGTCAGGTTTTCCTACTATCCTTCCACTTTTTATTATGCAATCCACGAATATATATATGGAAAACATGAATTTAGTATACATTTAAAAAATAATATATGGCTCAGGGAATCATTAAATGCAGAAGATATTTATTACAGCAGTAAAAGGGATTTGGTAAGAGTAGAATCCCAGCCTCACAAGTCCTAAATTTCTCTATCCTAAAAGGAAGAGAGGTCTTTTGAACTTCTACTCCTCCTCCCTAGGTTCCGGTACGGGAGGAGGAAACAGTAAGTCACTTTGGTACTCTTGAGTGCTGGCGAGGATGAGTACTCGTGTACTCGTCCAGCCACCCTTGAGTTCTGAAGAACGTAAAGGAATAGGAGATTCAGTACATCAATTCTCTTCAAAGGTACTGATTGGCTTGTTAAATACGCATGATCATCAGGGGAAAATTAGCACAAATCTTACGTAAAATGAATGGAAACATGCTGTTTGGAATGCAAACGGGAATGTCAATTTTACGTAAAATTTACCATAATTTTATTTCACCGTTTACGTATCACAGAGGTGACATTTTTGCAAACATGTTGACATTTTCTTGACATTGGTTTGCGTAAAAATGATATAAAATGGACAAAACATTTACATTCTGTTTACGTAAAATTAACATAAACATGCTGTTTGGGCTTAAAGGGCATTTTTCACATTCGAACTGATGAACAGATGCTATCGCCTCAGGCGTGTCCCTGTCCATTATTCACGTATGAAAATTGCCAATACACTCATGGAATCTGACGATAAAACATACCAGAGGCTGCAAATGTGCTGAAAAAACATTCCTAACAAAATTCATGCTATTGACGTCATTTACAATCGATAGGGGATTTTGAACATAGGCCCAAAATCCCAGTACGGGTTTCCAGAAATTTAACGAACCCGCATGGGGACTTGCACGATTCCGTATTCTATTCTCATAAAAATGCATTATTTTCCTTACCCTGACATCGTTGTAAAACCAAAAAGAGATTGTACTTACTTTTCATTGAATAAATGAAATACTCAAAACTTAACTGGAAAGTGCTTATGTACTTGATTCGGACGAAGCCCAGATATCGATATGAGTTTGATAACCGGAATTAAGCTGAGATGAATCGCAGTGAGTAAAACAAATGAGTCACAAAGTTCAACAATATTCTGTATAATCCTAGCGCAGGCACCTGACCATGAGGAAATGTGAGCTCATTTCGACATTAATTGCAGCCTCATCCGAGATCCGGAATAAATCCGGGTTACAAGAGCTCCACGTCATCTACACATGACGTGGAATTCGGAAGGTACTGACTTTTCCCCTGCGAAAGCTACTCTTCAAATCGCGATATCACTTCGGGAGGAGTTCGTGAATGATTTGGGTCCGGGGTATAAATTGTCAACAGTTGCGAGTATGGAAGCATCTCCCTTTTACGTATAAGAGTCGCGCCAGAGAGTAATGCGTACTTTAATTTAAGGTCATTTAAGAACTGCTACAAAAAAGTAGCTCCAGAATTTTTTCTGGACTCGGAATCACAATGCATGAGTTATTTATAGGAGTTATATACATTTTTCTGCCAGAAAATATTTCCTCTCAGCGCTTCCAAGCAAATTCTAGTTGTCGGCTCTTTCTGGCATATATTGCAGCCGTGGATTTTACATGTTAGCCGTTTACGTACTAGCAATCTGAGTTGCTGGTTCTCGGATCTAGTGAAAATTGAACACGACTGCGTAATAAATGATATCTAGGTTGCATCTACTAGATGGGATATAACGCGATGGTATCCTGCATTCATGGATGTGGCAAACCCGAAACGCACCTGCGTCATGAAAAAGGTGTCCTACCGAAGGCATGGATCACTCATGGCACGAATCAGGATTGAAGCGTATCGAAATTTCACATTCCTAGAGGTATTTCTCATACGACACAATCCTATTTTGTACATGCTAATGAAATAGTTTTGCATCATTCTGAACGATTTTTACACAGGAAAATGACTATGAGGAACAATGGAAATATAACTACACGTTCCCGATCCTCGACAGGTCCATGTTCCAGAATGTTCCCTTCTGCGGATTGTGTATGACGCAAGCTGATGATGTTTCTACTGCCAAAACACCTGGGCACGTGGCATTGCTTTCCCACTGGGGGCGCATGTCTCGGTCAGGATCCAGGGTATAAATTCAGCATGTTGGGTTGGTTTCATACTAGTCCAGCCTTGACAACAGTTACATCGACATCATTGCAAGCATGGAAGCACCTCCCATCACTGTCTTCCTTCTCTTCCTCACGTTCTCCGCCCGTACTCAGGTATAGTCAGTCTTTTCATAGGGATATTGGATATTCAAGTTGATTGGATGTTCCAGAAAGTTCACTCTTATTCCCGTTTCCACAGGGTGAGGAGAATGGAAGTTTTGAGAATTCTCCCTTAATGTTGGAATCGTTCGATATCCCAGGTACTGTTCAGTCGGCATAACATTACCGTACCTGAAAACTAATGTAGGAGGGGTGTTCGAAAAGTAATAGGAATTTTGAATTTTTTCCCAATCAACATATTTATTCATCATTATTTACACTTAACTTTTCAATATAATCACCCTGGATTGCAATACACTTTTTCCAACGAGAGACTAACTTCCTAAGGCCATCATTAAAGAATTCCTTTGGTGTGCCTTTAGTCCAACGTTCTATCGCATTCCTTGACCTCTTGTAGAGAAGAAAAACGCTTGCCCCGAAGTGGTTTCTTCAATTCCGGGAATAGGTGGTAATCACTTGGAGCCAAATCAGGAGAGTAGGGTGGGTGAGGCAGCAACTCCCATCGCAGATCGGCTATAGCATCAATAGTTCGTCTTGCAGTATGGGGCCTGGCATTGTCTTGCTGCAGTAATGGTCGTGCGTGGAGCTTTCCTGGGCGTTTTTTGATCAGTTGGGTGCGCAAGGGGCCCTTCAGCAAACCAGAATAGTATTCGGCGTTTATCGTTTGACCTCTCTGAAGATAGTCTATGAGGATAATGCCTTGACAATCCCAAAAAACGGTCATCATGACCTTGCCAACGGACGGATTTGATCGAGCCTTTATTGGAGGGCCTTCATCAGGGCGCCGCCACTCCATCGATTGGGATTTGGTCTCCGGATTAAAGTATGGCACCCAGGTCTCATCTACAGTAATAATCCGAAGCCAAAAGTTCTCACCGTACCTCTTCGCCAAGTCCACAAGCTGACCACATGTCACTGTACGGTTGAGCTTCTGGTCTGGCCCCAACAGCCGAGGTACCCATCGCGCTGAAACTTTGCTCATGCCCAAATGGTTGTGCAGAATCGAGTGAACAGAGTCGAAACTGATGCATAGGGCCCTGGCAATCTCTCGCACGGTCACTCGCCTGTCCTCCATCACAAGCTCTTCCACGGCTGCCACATTTTCTTCATTAACTGAAGTGGAGGGCCTTCCAGTCCGATGGTCATCATCAAGGCTTTGCCGACCACTCTTGAAGCGGTTAATCCAAAAATAAACTGTGCTTTTTGAGTCAGCAGCATCTCCGAAAACACACTGCAAGCGCTTGACAATATCAACAGTTTTGACTCCTTCCTTCCACAAAAAGAACATTATTGACCTTTGATTTTTCACCGCGTCTTCCATAATAGAAAAATAGCAAGGGACAGCACGGCCTATAACTCGAGAATGGACTGAGTGTATTGAATGGCATTGACAGGTCCTAATGCTTACATGTTGGCCTACGTATGGGCTGACTCTTGTTACCTTAGGTCTAATCGTTCTTGTTTAATAAATAAATTCCTATTACTTTTCGAACACCCCTCGTATATGCTACTTAAAAATTAGACTTATTCCTTGAAATTGTAAGATTATCTTCCATGTGTATATATTGCGCAATTTTCCTCTTCCATTTCTTTCTCTCTTTCTTCGAAAACCTCTGCCAACGTTATTATCATACCAGAACCGTTTAAAAGATTGAGATAGGTGGGAATATAATATGGCCGTAATATTTTAAAGATGGAAATAGGTATACATTTATTAGCAGGGCCCTTCACATAGTACCTGTCTCTATATATTCAAGACGCATTATTTGCATGTTCATAAGGAACTAAATCATTTTCTGAAAATCATTGAACTATGCGAAGTTTGGACAATCCACGAAAGAATCGGAAATTTCCTCTGCAATGGACATCAATTACTTAGCTCCAAACCATGAAAATCGTTTCCTTTATCTCCGATGTACCTTAACACGTTGGCGACAATGCGTCCTGATGGCAGGATGCAGGTTCCAAAAAACGTATTGTGCGCAGATATCTAGTATCTAGCGTTCCAGAAGATTATGATTTCATAATTACTGAGAAAAATTCCAAAAAATTCAACTTTTAAAAAATCTCAGCAAAAAAACTGTTTTTACTTGGACCATGCATCCTGATGGCAGGACGCATTTTTTGACAAAAAAAAATGCGCGTGGTCCCACGCGGCGGACAAGCAAAAATAGGCTGGTCGTCAACGTGTTAAAGCTGCGATCCGACACCATGATCTTGCATGAGTAAATCAGTTTCCATGGGAGCAATAAAGAATCTAAAGGGGGGAAAAAGTAAAAGGTCTAAAAGAAGTCTTCATTATGGATTTGAATATATGAATACAGAGAAATTAAGAAACGTTTACGTCTCTCGAAAGACCATTTCTACTCGTTTCCTCACATGCATCTTTTCCGTTTTCAGGTTCAAGAGCCTTAGCCTGCTGTAAGTTCAAAAACACAGCTTCTTCATGTAAACACTTAAGAAGGTAACGATTAAGGTTTTTGCGAGTGCTTAATGCGAGTGCTCAACATCGTTAGATTGCGGAGTTTCTCAAACGGCATCAGGAAAGAGGTCTTCGGACAGTTTTGCAAATGAGACGGAATTAGACTTCGATCGAGTTATAGGAGGAACTCCAGTTCCTAGTCAGAGGAAGTATCCTTGGATAGGATGGATGGGGACAACACAGAGCAATTTCATCTGCACGTCGGCCCTCATCAATGATCGCTACGTCCTTACTGCTGCTCATTGTGTGTCATCAAAGTAAGAATATTTATAACGTATTTCTTGACTGAACCTGAATCTGCGGTGAAGGATGAATCATCTCCTACATCCCATTGCTGTAGCCCATCTGGAACATTTTACGTGACTCTGGGATCCTCGAACCGGTCCCAACGGCCGGCAGGTCAAGCAATCCAGATTCCAGCAAGATCCATCATCCACCCAAATTATATTTCGCAACCAATTCAGAACGATGTCGCCCTTCTGAAACTTTACACTCCTGTGAACTTCGCAGCTTACCCAAACATCCGTCCCATTTGTCTCGCTGGTTTCAATCCCAGTGCCAATTCAGTGGTAACAATCGCGGGATGGGGCCGAACTTCAGGAAGTAAGTAGAGAATGGATTGCATATGACTGAATGGCGCACATTCTGAATTTCAAGGCATTGAACCCCCTTTCAGCTAGCAGTGCCTCCTCAACAGTTTTGATGGAAACGACGGTGAAAGTAATGAGTCTGCAAACTTGTCAGAGCATTTGGGGGTCTCGCTTGAACAACAACTATGTATGCATCCAGGCTTCTGGGAAAAATGTCTGCAATGTAAGCATACGAGTACTTAGTAAAACGCGGTCAGAACGGAATCTAAAGGCATTTGGATCATTCCACGCCAAATCGGCCAGCGAAAAAGCTCGACCATCTCGGATTTTGGCGAAAATCGCCATTCACCTAGAAGAATCGATTTAAAGAAGATAATTTCTACTAATTTTTTTCTTTCCCACAGATCTCCAGATATAATTCCACCAGATGCATTTTAATTTGACCTAATTTTCGCTCCCAGTGCCCATACGGACTGGAATTGTGAAACTGTTTCTGCAAGAGCTTCCCCTCTAGTTAATATATAAACTTCATTTTGGTGTCATTTTAATCGTGAGATTGCCCTCTTTAAATTGATTCCAAGTATTACCCTCCTAATCAGAAACAAGAAGTTCCTCTATATCTCACAACTAGCGTATGGTCGCGCCTTCGGCGCTCCCTCACCTTGGATAGTGATTAATTCATTCATTTTTTGCGAAATGGGAAACACGTAAAGTACGTTCCCATTGAAATACGTGATATATGGGGTCGAATGTCTTGATTTTTTTCATCAAAATCATTACCTCTATGATTCTCGGTGCCTTACTTGAAATATTTTATGGTGTGCCTTTTTGTACTGGTGGAGAATACATTTTGAAAAACTTCTCTCCAATAATCTACGCTAAGGATACATATTTCAAATTATGATTTTTCCTTAACTCAGCCATCAAAAAGGTTACTTCTGAGGGAAGTTTAAATGTCCTGTCTCTGTTTCGTTGGATCAAGAAAAAAATCAGGAAATTGGGACTGAAAAAAGGGCACTAATGGGTGTTAACGAATTTTTTTTTTCTTTTGAAATGTAGACTCATGGAACTCCATGCCACCCAGTTTCAGGCTTATCCGTTTCCCCTTTTTGCTCGCAGAAAAAAATATATTTGGTAAAGCGACCCACCCAAAAGCTGTGCTTTGAGGAGACGTATAAAAAAGTTTAATTTTTCCTTGAATCAACATCACGTCAGTGATGCGTGCGCCAGCTATTTTTCTGTCTGCCCATTGATGTACATGTCCCAATAGTTTCAATATTATACATTTGCTCTTTCGCTGGTGAAAAAACATGCTTTGAAAAGCCGACCCACCCAAAAGCTATGCCCGAAGGGGATGCACCATAAAAGCTGAATATTCTCTCTCAGCTCAGTAATATCATGTCATTATACGTGTGCCAAGTATCACCTTTCTATTTCTTTCCAATCGCCATGCCAGTTTCTTTTTCAAAACATCGCAACTTGAAAAATTCCCCCAGGGGATGTATCGTGACTTAACATTTTTATTTAACTCCTTGTCTCAGTAGTAGCATTCATACAAACGTTCAGCATTCCATGTTTATCAGTTTACCAGATGCAAAAAAATGAGTTGAAAACATCTCCCTTTGAAATTTGTGCCCCCAGGGCATTTTCTTTTAAATTTTGAAGTTTTCTGCAGCATCCCTATAGGTAGTTACGTACCAAGTTTCATCTTTCCACTCCGCTTAATACGCTAAGACAAAAAAAAACTTGAAAACGTCGGCTCACAAAAATATGCCCCCAGGGCATGAATCTAAAATTTTGCATTTTTCCTGAACACATTGTCTCATTAGGCACGTCCATGCCAAGTTTCAGCTTTTTTTTGCCTTTCCGTTCTACTCAAGCAAAAATGATGTTATGGAGGGGGATTGAGTAACAGGACATGGAAGGGAAAAATAACCAACCGCAAGCCAGGGTTTGGCCAGGAATTGAACCTGGACCTTTTGACTGCCAACCAGATATGTTACGACTACACCACAGAACCCAGCTCATCTAGTAAATTCTCTAAATGCCATCCTCATCTGTCACAAAAAAATATTCATGAAAAACTTTTCCCCCCAAAATGTGTAACCCCAGGGCATGCCCCTCCAAAGTCGGATTTTTTCTGAACTCTGCATCCCAAAAGGTAGATGTGTACCAAGTTTCAGATTTCTAGCCCTTCTAGAACATGGTTAGAATTAGCGTCAGTCAGTCAGTCTCCATCGTCTATATATATTAGATATTGATAAAGTTCAGTGGCCAATATCGACAATTTCCACCTCGAGAATTCTTTGTTCCAATATTTCATTTCAAAGTGCATGGTATGTCATTTCTGACGATACCAAGATAGAATTTGACACTCAATAGCTTCATGAGATTTACATTTTTAACTACGGCAGCAATGCCAAATTCCAAAATTCCACTTGTTCGAACACTTGTACCAGGTTCAATGACCTACTAATGCACTATCCACTCCGTGAATCTGGACTTATAATAAATCAATGAAAATGGCGTGTTATTGCCTTTCTAATGATACCAAATTCAATGTTGGCACTGAAGGGGTTCATGAGGAATAAGAGTTTGATTGCATTGGCAGTGCATTTATAGTAACACCAGGGGAATCACAGGAATAAAACCCAATGTTACGAAGCTGTCAGCGTGAAATTTTAGCTGGTTTCTAATTTTTTTTAGCATTTTATTGTTTTCCTAGCATAAAAAATTACAAAAAAATCATTTTTGAGGTCATTAATCAATTGACTCAATTAACTTTAATTAATGATGTACTGTAATTACAGAAAAAAATATTATATTAATAGTTTCTTCAACGTGTATGGAGATTTTTGTCAAAATCCGAGATGGTCGGGCTTCCTCACTGATCGATTTGGCGTGGAATAACCCATTCGTGACGGCGTAACTGGAAAATTTCTTTCCAGGGTGATTCTGGGGGATCGCTGATGTACCGAACTTCCTCAGGAATCTATGCGAGCGTTGGAATCGCTTCGTACGTGAGGGATGCATATTGTTCACCTCAATATGGCGCTGTGTTCACCAGTACATATAGTACGTTCTTCTATACCTCCTAAACATCGTGTGCATATTTGTGCTTTGCTAACTTCAATAAGTCTTTCCACACTGTAGGTTACGTGTACAGCTTCATCTTTCCCAACACCGTGGATGCCCAATGGTGTGCCGTACCTTGAATTCCTCAATCATTTCTTTCATATCTGCTATCTTTGTTTCCTTCTTATTTCCTCATGCTTGAAATATATATTACGTTCGCATAGGATTTTCCCTGCATTTGACTCTTAGATTTTCATACTTGAAGCTTGATGGAATTTTGTGGTTTCGTGTCATCACAAAAATGGCCGCGGGAGAGCCACAGTGCTTTGCTGTTTTCAGGAACGGCTACGGATACGGAAGTTTATCTGGAGCTTTTTCCTCCACCAACTAATGAAGTAGATGACTAATGAAATTTTTAACACATCATATCATCTCCAGGGGAGAATTTCTTTCCTTTCCTCTTGACGAGGAATTTCTCCCCATCTGGTATGATTAATTTCTTGAGGGGAAGGTGTGTGCTCATAAATTGCCAAGTAATGTAATCCCAACTGACAGGCGGAGAACCCAAAATCTCACGACAATCCAGTCCAAAAATTAAAAAGTCCCTAACACTTGCTAACTGCTGCGAGACGTTCCTCTCTCCAACCGTCCCATCATCCACAACGAAGGATCCTGGAATCCCCCTTTTAACGGATTTGCTGAAGCACCTGAAAGCGAAATCGACTCTAGTTCTTTTTCGATGAGGCATTGGAAAATTGGATAACAATATCCTCAAATGTAGAGGAACCCCATAATCAGTGGAACTTTTGAATTTTTACCATCTTTCAGTCTTGGAAATCAAAATTTTTTTTTTTTATTGGTTGGAACTTCCTCCACTCTTCTCCAGATCAACTTCGTGCCATTTTTCTTCGAACTGAAAATTTCACAATAAAATCGTAATACATTCATGGGAGAACCTTTCATTCAAACGAACATTCGCTGAATGTTCATTCATGACATAATGTAAGCCACTTAGAATGAGTTTACGCTCTGGGCAAGAGTATTGAAATGATTTATGTGCCAGAAAGCATGAAGGGATGCTGGAGTGAGCAATTAATAATTACTCACTCCAGCATCATATCGCAGCAGCATTTATGGTTTGAGGCTGATGAAGTGCTTGAAGATGTGCTTAGGGAGTACAAGCAGAGAAGTGAATTAGCTTTTGTCTGGGAAACTTTCTCGTTGTAAGTGAATGAGACGAGGAAATTCATAGACCACTTTCATTCCACTGTAACCTATTAAAGCAGCTTAATGGTTTCATTTTAAAATTATTCACGAACGGTGAACACATACCAGAACTAATACACAAGAAAGCATAACCAGGAATCCATTTTATTTTTCACATTTTCCTTTTTTGCGCGGGGTTGTGGAGGACAGAATAAGACATTGAGATATCGTTGGAAGAGAAAAAGGAGAAAAGGAGAAGAGAGAGTGCTTGCCGTTTCGTCTAGGACAGGAGAGTGAGAATTAAGTCACAGCTCCAGGGCGGGAGGAGAAGGGGAAGAAAGGTGTTTCTTCCATCTCTTTTTCTGGAGCCCTGCATTCCCCCTGGGTATGTTGAGAGACTGGCAGGGAAAGGGCATTTGATGACTTATACATGCCTTGTAGAAATGATTATACCATAGGAATCGATGAAGGTTGCGCTCATGGGTTAAATTCTTTGAAGGGTGTGATTGAAACTATCCAAGGCGCTGTATGATTTCATGAATCTTCTTGATGCCAGGCCATTATTAAATCTCCTATTATCAATTTAGCGTCAAGGAAATGGTCATAGCATATGCATACCTCAGCTCAGCAAGTAGTGTCCACGAAGGTAACTGGAATGAATAATCCTGATATGCATTATAAACAACCACCTCCTTTCTTAATGGTACTGGGTTGAATGAGAATGCAGTGACGAATTTAAAGTACCTTCCCCTCATACAGAACACGATGATATGTATTTCCTTCTTTGAACGGATATTGGCTTGCGCTATAATCCCCCAGATTTTTCGTTCTACAGGGCGTGAAGGATCAAAGCATGAGGTGCAAGTGTAGCTCAGTGTGGCCCCCTGACGAACACGCGAGGAGCCCCAGGTGAGAGGCCAGATAAAATACCCCCTTAGTCCTCCACCCAAATACCAAAATAGAAAAAGGGTGGAATAATGAATGTCATCTCTTTCCTTGATTTTTCATAACTCATACTTGGCTAAATATCCTGGTATAGTGTAACAGGTTCTTTGTTCGCCGAAGGAAAGGTTAATTCCACGATCAAAACATCCCATACAGAAAAACGCCAAAACCTTAGGACTGAATGGGGATGAAGGGAAAGCGGTGCTATTGAACGGAGTTCTTGGGTCATAATCAAAGCAATTATGCAGACGATCCCCTTCCACGTGGACCCAGGTATTAATGGATTTTCTTGTGATGTTGACCGTCACTCGTCGGTGGAGGTTTTGCCTCAATATTATATCACACCTTGTGAAAACGGAAAAAAAAGCATTTCGTGTTCCAAAATTGGCGGAAAATGCAACAGCGTCTAAATATTTATAAGCTATTTGATTGTGTGTACTGAAAAATACGACCCGTCGATGTGCCCGCACATATCTGCCGATACGTCCCATACATCATTCGGGAACGAAGCATATAACACAACTTGCATGCATTTCCCTGAAGATGCTTCACCCTCGCTGGAAGTAGGAGAGAAGGGAAACGATCTCATGAGGCAGTGGAAACGCATGAAGTTATGAATAATTCAAAGATCAACCCATTTTATTATAATCAAACGTGTTTCTTCCCGCGTTGGAAAATTTTGGCAGTAAAAAAAAATTGGAACGAGGAACAGTCCAGTTGCAATTTCGGAAAACCTCAACATGAATCGACAATCGTTCGAATTATGAAAGACAGAAGAGGAACTGTAAGTTTGCCAAGCAAACCTACGCTGACGTGAGTAGCGTGAGGGGTCATCCCTGGAATCAGGGAAAGGAGGTGGAGTCTGCCACCGGCCCTACTTCGTGGCGCGAAGCAACGCACAAAGAAGACTCACTTGTCAGCCCCAGTTTCCCTGCATCTAGTGCGGAGGTGATTAGGTCTTATCCTACAATGGAGAAGAGGGAACCTTTTCTGCGATGGTCGAAAAAACTATCGATACCTCCAACTATCGATAGTGGTATTGATGCATCGATCTGTTGTGACAGCCCTAGTTTTATATTATTCTTCTTTTGAGAGTGAATAATGAAGTGCGGCAGTTTTCCGAAATTCTGTGAATCTCGATCCTCTGTACCGAATTTGATTTGACATATGAATTACCGCCATACGAAGCGACATTTTCCCAATGAAATAATGAGCGCTAGGGATGATATGTACCTGGGAAGGATAGTTCCATATCCCGCATCTCTTTAGTGAATCTGGTGACTCACGATGTTTTTCTTTCGCTTTCATTTTGAAAGGTCAGCATGGTATGGATGTTATGTATCCCTCTTCATGATGTGAAAGGACTCTGAAGAAGTTTGGAGAGGTAAGTCAGGCGCCTTCGGTGTTGCCCGGATTACATTGGTAAAATGAACTATGTTAAAGACTGAAGCGAGGAAGCCCATGAAGACTGGAGGGTGTCATATGTTCCATGGATTCCAATTTAACGGACGAATTTCAAGGCACTACCTTTCCCTCCTCTTTTATGAATCAGAAACAAGGAGTTGTTCATGTTGTGTTCATTTCCAGCCAGTTCTAGAACAATAAAAAAAAGAAATATATGTGAACATGCTCCAGAGATTTGGGGTTGATTTTGCATGAACGTGAGAAGGATGGGGGCTGTAAGGGACATGCTTCGGAAAAGGGCTATTTATTTATGCACACTGGTCTGTGAAAATTTGATCAGAAACGCGCCATTTGATTTTGGACAGATACCCGCGGGGACAAACCCTGGGAATTCGGGCTATTGGCCGAGAAATCCTCCCCTTGACGTTGAACAGATGCCCTCGGGCATGACATTGGATTTTGGACAATTGGCCGAGAATTCCGACCTGGGATTTTGGACAATTGGCCGAGAGGCCTGGTCTGGAACGTTGGACAATGATCCTGATATGAATACGTAACACGCATGTCAATGTCGCCATAAACGTCATCATAATTTCTGTAAAATTTAGTGACGCAAAGTCAGAGTTGCAGATAAATTGACGTGGTCTTCTCAAATGCAAGAAATATGGGAAATGAACAAATGTGGAGAGGGTTACGGAACAACTGACAATGAAACAATACATTTTCCCACATTCCAACGGATACGGACAATGACGGATGGAAGGTATGGCCTTTGACTGACTAAGCGCAGAATGCCACAAAATTGAAACTGGCCTGCATTATCCGTGTTGTCTGCCAAATTTATTCCTCAGCTCGGTCATTTTTTCTTGCATACCTTCATCATATGTATGATCACCCCAAAACGGCAAAGATATTGAAATTGTCACTGTCACTCTCTTTCAATTCCTAAAATGGAACTTTCGAAACCGAAATAAAACCTTTTCATACACTTTGCTCGGTTTTTTATTCGGAGGCTCTTGCATGAAAGTTGGAATCGAATATTGCCAACGTTGAAAAAAAAAACCATGTGAATGTGCTTTCCAGGATTCCCAATGTTTCTATGAAAAGGGACGCGAACACGAGGAAAAGTGGAAAATCGTGCCTATCTGGCGGCATCACCCCAGTCGCATCCCAGATCCTTTGGACGGATTATGGAGAGTGTCGCCACTTGGACAGGTTCTTTGGCAGGTGGGGGCAGATGGGAAGCTGTTCGGTCCTGGGTCTGGCATTTGATAGTCCTTTATGGTGTAATTTGGACACTTTTCCTCTTAATCAGCTGCCTGTCAGAATTGCATCCCGCACTGGATGCACTTTCGCAATCTTCTTCAGCATATGACATCAACTTTAAATAATTTTTGGAAGACATTTTTGCCGATGGTGGGCTCGATTTCCCAAGGTTGCAGACCCTTACGGAAATGTCCTATAGGAAACCTATAGTTATTTCTTATAGGAAACCTATAG